AAATTCCACTTTCTTCAAATTTTGGTCGTAATTTTAATTTAACCTTCTTATCTGACAGCATAGAAAGTCAGGAGAAAAAATCCGTTCAAATGTCATTGTTTCTGGTAATAATTTAAAGATTTTTTTGGTATTTTTCTAAGTTATACTATTTGAAAGTACAGCATATGGGGGCAATTAATCGGCTTTTGTGACAAAAAAAATGACTTTAAATGTATCTTTAAGGACAATGGACAACTAAGGAGGTTCCTAAATTGGAGAGAAAAGGAGACCGAAAATCCAAGAAGAAAATTGTTCGGAACAAGTGGTATAGAATTCGCATTGTTACGTAATGGATATAAAATACCTGAGTAGGAGGAAAAAGAGGTGTACCAGCAAAACCCTCACTACTTGTTGAGGGAAATTTTGTATTTTTTTCCAAGCATTAGATTATTTTTCGGATGCTTGTAATAAGTGTTGGTGTTTTGAGTATTAATGCTATCTATTCCGTCAGTAGGGGTATACGTTTTCATTAGATTGATACTGAAATCAAAGCATTCATCTGATCGTAAGACAAAATACAAATACAAAATATTATCAGTGAATATCTTATTCTTTCCTTTGTATATTGTCAGGTATACAAGAGGTAAAATTGAAAATAAAATATATCTGTCATAAACTACCTTCCATAGCACAGTTTTGTCTATTTTTGGTGACTCATTATTTAAAGTGATCTTGATTTATCAGCATTGTTTACTTGTTTCGATTTGTGGTGGGTGACTCACTCACACACTGAAAAAGTTATCTTCTTTATCCATATATCGATAGATCATCAAGTTTGAATTTTTAACTCCCTAAAGCTATTCGTCAGCTGTGTTAACTTAAACACCCCCTCCCACACACACACACACACACACACACACACACACACACTGTCAGATAATTTTCAATGTATAATTTTCCATCCTACCAAACCAGGATGTTTTTCGTGACAATAATAATAATAAGAAGAAGAAGAAGTCTTATGCTAGTCAAGTAATTTTAGCAACTATGTTGGAACGTGCTTGTTTTACAAACTGAGTTCATATCACCTCACCCAGCGAAAGAGGAAATTTTCGTCGATAGTTTGATAGTGAACATTACATTTCAAAAAGTTTTCTTGTTATTATCATGAATTATACAAGATAGGCAGTTATTCAAGGGGAAAAGAAGTTATTCAAATTTCAACTGCAGTACGTTTTTAAATGTTTTATTGCCATTTTTTGGCGGAGGTGAGCAGTCTTGGGGGACTATCATGTTATTATTATTATTATTATTATTATTATTAAGTAACTTTATGTTTATATGCCCTCGTGTGAAAAATATTTACGTCTACTACATATGCACTGACATTATTATTCCCGATTTTTGATACTAGAAAATTACAGCAAACGTCTCAAAGTCCCTCAAATCTCGCGAATGCCGTACGGGAAGGGGGATCCATTCAGTTCAGTTTTTTCTTCTTTCTCTATCACATTACATGCGCTTGATTATGTACCCGCTAAGTCACCTGTTTAGATTAGATAGAAAATTTTATGACTTTGATATGTTCTTGGAGATAAATGATATCTGGATATTTTTAAAACATGACGAAGGGGCTATTTTATAGGTCTGAATCAGCAAATTTTAGCGTGCCTGGATCTGCGATATTGATATAAGTCAAAATAAGCACTTGCAGTTACGTTTATTTATTCCCCAACTTCCAATACGCGCCTGTTTACACTTAACCTGCCTTTGTCGCGCTTACGCTCGAGGGCTCTCCCGCACACACAGCCAAACGCACGCGAGCACGTACGTACACACATCCTAACACACGAACACACAGACGCATTTCTTCTCAGAAAAGAGACATGGAGCTCAGCATGGATAAGTGAATTACATATTTTTTACTCCGTTCATGATATCCTGAATCTACCGACGCGGCTGGAATACCGCCAATGGACTTTCCCGCTAGGGGAATCCCCTTCTTCCGCGTGTATACAATAAGGCTGTAGGCTACTAAAAATATCCTTGTCGTCTAGTCAAGTGATCAGTCAATAACGACTTTATCGCGGTGTCAGTTTACCCCATGACTATTCAAACAGAGTGCCTCTTATATACATAGCCCGGGCAGAGACATAATAGGGAGAACGGGTGAGAAAGAACAGGTAAAGTCAACGGAAATTCCACTCTGACGCAGTGACGCACAGTGGGGAAGACAAGGCGATACCCCCGGATAAAGTAGCAAGGTGAAACCATGGAGGGTGAAGTCATCGCGTGAATGTGGCGGGTGAACTCATCGGGAGTCCCAAGTCTCGAGCCGAAAATCCCGATGGTGAAGTCACTTTTTCACCTGTAGTTATTACATTTTCTTGTGCAGTACTTTCCAAGCGACAAAGGATCGGTTTTGGGTGATTGTGGCAAGGCGGTCTATGAGGTGGCACTGGCGGATTTCTTCAAACTTTCTGTTTACATATTCTCTGCTACATTTAACAGGAACTACTGTCGCCGTTCAACTGAGGGACAGAACTGATTACGGAGAACCTTTGATTAGGGAAACTGAAACAAGGGCTGCTGTAGTCATTGTGCCCGATTTGGAACGCAAATTCCCGTCTTTAGAACTGTCGTGAATTATTTTATGTCTTTTTTCGGTTAAATTGCTGTATATGTGTTCATCCTTACATTTGCTCCAATAGTTCTGTATTGTGTTGACTGTATCCTGACATTTTCTTTGGTGCGAATAATATTTTAATAAAAGAACATTTCGACAGTTTAGATAGAACTATCGACAGGACAACCAAGAAGGTAAGAGTTTATGTACAGTATAGTTTTAACCTCTCTCTCTCTCTCTCTCTCTCTCTCTCTCTCTCTCTCTCACACACACACACACACACACACACACACACACGTGTGTGAGAGAATAAAGGGAATATTAACACGGCAGCCAAAGTTATTATTTTACCCGGTGGACTTGAAGAAACGAGAAGAGAATTAAAAAAATAGACGAGTGGTTCAGCAACGATCAATCAAATGCTGATTTCACCTTAACCTTGTGTCGATATACAGAGCATAAAAGAGTTAATCGGGCCACAAGCACACCTGTATATTTGATCATCGATTCGATTTCCTTTGTACTGGTTTAAATTAAATATGAATGGACTTCCTTGTATCGGCAGTTATTTCTTATTTATTTTACTTTTTTGCCTAATGCATTTCAGTCAAAGTTGTTTGTTTCGCCTTTAGCTTTCATATTCTAAAGCGTATATGAAAGAACCAACCTTTCGATATTTTCTTTATTGATTTCCCAATCGTCAAAAATAAACCCCAAACTTATTCATTGGTTACGCTTTTGCTGGTCAATATCATTAAAATGAGTACCATATATCTGCTACAGCGTGGAGAAATAAGCTAACCCTAGTCGATTTTACAAAAGCGCATAAAGTCGAAAGTTGGCCTTAACTTTAATGCCAATTTTTTAGTCCATAATGACGCAAGATAGACCAGAGAAGGATTACACGGGAAGAGTCCACATAACTTGAGTGTAAATGCACCCACAGTCTGTAGTTTTTATTTCACCCCTTTGAGAAAAAAAGGTTCAAGTAATTTGAATAGCAAATGTGTCAGGTCGGTCTTACTGGTGTTATTTTCATCTCAATTGCAGCCATGCATTCTTTCTTTTCCTTTTTCAAAACCAGTTTTGTAACATGATTTCAGGTGTGGGGTACCTTGATATTGGACACTGAACATTTCTTTCACATGTGAATGTTAAAGGCGCGTGTCTAACAATGCAGTTCTTAGAATTTGTATGATAAAGAGATGGAGTGGTGCGGCGGTTTGGGTTCCAAGAAACCCAGATACTTTGGCATTTTAGTTTCGCATTTTACTATTCGTCATCTTCAAAATTGAAATGTTGGTCTTTGTAAATTTGTAATGATGCAGACACGGATAATGCTTGGAGTGCAGTTTTATGTATTATTGCAATCACTACATTTGTAATATACGGACCCTCTCACATTATACCCTCTACCAGGGCCACATTGATTTTTTTCACTAGATATTCACAGATATTACGCAATAAATAATGGTATGAAATGAATACATGAAATAAGCTTTTTATTGATATGCAGCCTGTTGGTATAATCTGGTTAAAAAGATGGCCACTTTCCTGCTGCCCCCCCCCCCCCCGTCTTCATCCTTACCCCCTCCATCCCCCCCCCCCCGGACTTCAGCCTTAAGCCATCTCAAGGTGTAAACCCTCAATTATGTGATATTTTCCCCCTTTCGTGAAATGTCGAAAAATCGCATGAATATGAGTGACAACCTGGCAGGCAGCAGTGCAAAAATTGGACTTAGAGGCTGCAAAAAATCTGTCCAAAGCATAAGCCGGGAAGGGTTTTGCTTGCTTGCTTGCTTGTCCTAGTTGAACTGAACTATTTTTATGGTTTTAAAGAAATCTGTTATAGAATTGAGCCCGGGAATGTGAGCTATCCACGACACACAAGGCACGCAAATATCGAAAACAAGTAGGCCTACCGCGTAAAAAGATTTATCATATATTTCTTTAACTGAGAATGGGTGAGAGTGGGGAAGAGGGGCATCCTCCCCTCTTTTACGGGACTGGATCTGACTATGCAGGGCTGTAAGCCTCCCAGTGTCAATTCAGAAATTTTACAATATTAAAGTGCCCTTTCTTTGCTCTCTTCAATCGTCTGTCGTCCTTAAATTACATCATATTCTGACGTCGTGTTGATGGACACACTGGCATCCCCGCCAAAGATGGACCCAGTGAAGGAGCATAGCCTGCACGCGCCCGTCTTCTTCCCTATTTTACAGAAAACTTGTTTGTTGACATCAGGCAGACAGACAGACGTGGGGAGCAAGGCCATGGGAAACTCTTGCCATCACGTGAAATAGAGCAAATTGCCAGCAGGGCAACCTTGAATCCCAAAGTCTGATTTTTTTTTATTTTGACTCATAGTTTCGTCTTTTGTTTCACAGAAATCTGGCAGATGACAAGGGAGACGCACATGCATGGTGCGGTATTTATGGCAGACGTCAGAAACGCTGAGCCCAGAAATCTTCAACAACCACAACAGCAACAATGCAAAAGACCCCCAGTGGCCGGAGACCTGAAGTTAACATCACTGCTGGCGGGATTTCGTTCGCAGTTCCCAATTCACGAGGACAGCGTAGAAATGATAGCGTTTCCACTCAAGACAGTGACTCGAGTCTGATAAGCAGTGCATCTAGCTCTGACAGTGCCGACGCACGAAAAGACTATGAGGCACAGACGCCAAATGACAGGCAAGTAAAAAGAATTGGGAAAGTCGCATTCACTAGCATAATAATAGCGGTAGTCGTGACCGTCGCTAACGTTGGAGTTGTGGCGTTTGTGATAATGAGCGAAAACAGTGTCGCTTCGGACATTGAGAACTTTAGGGACGTTATTGCATCCATCGGTCAGTTTTGCCTGCCGTGCACGGACGTCATGCTGACGTCTCCGGAGGAGAACGCCATAATAGCGGACTTTCGCAAACAGGTGACACCGGAGGGCGTGGCAGAATGCTGTGCAAAGGACAAAACACAGTTCAATATGTTATTACAGAGGGTGAGAAATGCTTTGCTCTTTCTCTCCTCTCTCCTCTCTCTTTCTCTCTCTCTCTCTCTCTCCATCCACCACCCAATCATTCGTACGTTTTTGTCTCATTTTTTCAACCAATCAAGTTATTACTGCCTTCATCATTTTTACATTTTTTTTATTGTTTGTCATATTAAAAAATGTAATGTGTTATTTGGCCATCTGCATGCTACTTTGCTGAGAGAGATTCCAAGTAGAAGTAAGAACCTTTTTAACCATCAACTTATTTTATCTTAATTTCAGTAGCGTTTTTTTTTTTTTTTTAATTTCCAACTTCAGGTCTTATCAACTTTAAGCACATTTCTTAATCCACATTTATCTCTGTGGGCCCTGTTTCATTAAACGTATCTTATCTTTATAATAACAACTGCGATAAAATGGAAGCTTAAGTTTATATATGACTTTGAAAAAATCCCTACCAACAGAGATATGGCCGCTGTTCGAATACTTTTTGGTTTAGGAGTTTTACTCTGATTCATTTAATTTGTTTCTTGTGTACTGACGATAAAAAAATTGTTTCTAAAAAAAGCTAAACGTTCCTTGAATAAGGGTCGATACTTCATTCCTCATAGGTAGAAAAAAGGCATTCTTTTTCTTCAGGAACGATTTATTTTTCATCTGTTTTAATTATAGTTGAAACACGATGGGTAGAAATTATGCCAATAACGTTTGGTACGTACATGGATTTTGACCGGTTATAATCTAGTTTAACACGGCCCTTTTTTATGACACTGCCTAAAATATTTTGTTTACGTTACGCATAGATATAGTTTGCATACAAACTTCCCCTAAGCCATTATTATTATTATTATTATGTTCCAATATTTTGGTGCCAGTGACTACGTGAATCAGGCATCAAAATATTTGTATATGCCTACATTGAGTGACACGTGTATTTGTTTTCATAGGATCTGCGTGCCCGTAAAAGTGATGACACAAGAATATTTTCATTATTTTTGTTTATTTATTTCAATTTTTGTAGTAAAGAGGTACGAAGAAGCATGCCCTTGTTTATATGCAATTCCTAGCACCTCTTTCTCTCTCTTTCTCGATGTGTGTGTGTGTGTGTGTGTGTGTGTGTGTTTGTGCGTGCACATGTGGTTACGTGCGTGTTTGTGCGTACATGCTTCATTGATGACAATCACAATAAAAGACGGACGGAGAAATGTTATGCTAATGTATACACTCATTACGTGTACACTCATATGCTAGTGAGCTTCATGTGCTTTTGACCTAATGAATGATCACACGCTGATCACACGCTGATAACAAACTTTGTCAAAGTCCACAAGGATTGTATAGAAGTTGCCTCGCATTGACCTGACCTTGTTGCACCCAAACATTGACCAAAAGTTCAAAGTGAGCACTTTGACAATCCAATGCCAAATTTCTCCTCTTTTCCAAATACTGACCAATGAAATACCCTCTCCGTGTGGATAAACCCTGCGAAAATTTGTCTCATTTAACGCTCATTTAACGGTTCTCAATCTGCCCTAGAACATAATGTTTTTCTCTCTTTTAATAAAAAATGTTCTTAATCTGTTCAAGGACATTCTGAAGGACTTCCCAAAAACAGTTCTCAAACTGTTACATTCATTACAGAACAACAATAGAACTGTAAAAAAAAAAAAAAAAATACACCAAATGTTCTAGAATAGATTGAGAACCGTAAGTGAACTTTAAATGAGACACTTTCGGGAAGTCAAGTGGTTGTGGATTTGTAACTTCAAAATTACAAAGGGTGATTTCGAAGTATGTTGGTCAGGCGGTTTGTTTGAAAGTTAGTTTGTAAGTCTGTTTGCAGTATATGGCTAACAGTACTGAATGTATCGTTATTTATTTATTTATTTATTTATTTATTTATTTATTTGTGAATCATTGTACTAGATCGTGACTTCCATATGTGGGTGATGATCCATTCATAAATTAATGAATACATGAAATATGCTAAGGGCGAAATGATTAGATTAATTATTACTTAATTATTTGTCTTAATGGAGGTTGCACGCTCTCGGTGCTTTTATATTTTTGTCTGTTTTATGATTAACCAAAACTTGGCAAATAAACAGACCATGAATTTTTTTTTAGAATGGGATGGGGGATAAGAGAGAGAGAGAGAGAGAGAGAGAGAGAGAGAGAGAGAGAGAGAAGGGGGCTTTTTCGTCGTCGGAAAAAGATATTATGCTGTTACGTTCCCACATACTGCTGTATATCTACACTGTATTCATTGTGTACAAAGTAACTTGACACTGACATGGATCTGTTTGTATAAATAAAAATATGATTATGTTTATTTACTTATCAGTCAAAGGTTAATCTTCCTGCCACAAATTATGATAACTGTGGTTCTCACGTACAGTACAGATATTGTGGTGTTTATATACAGTGTTGGTTGTTTGTATTGGTCGGCAATTTACTGATTTATCCAAAATTGGCTATTGTTAATTTAAATAAAGGAGATCGGAAATATGTATCTTTCAGAGAACAATTGCGTTGTTCGCAAATTTCACACTATAAATGATATACAATCAGAAAACGCTGCCTTCAGTCTGCCGTCACAAACGTAAATAAACGTGCTGACATTAGACCAACTGTGTACCTGTAAGGTACTACAAAACAATACCAGTTGCGTCCACATTTTGTTCGCAAGTTAACAGGTTACTTATTTATTTTCAAAGTTATCTTTTTTCAAACACTGGTTTGATTACAAGCTGACAAGACCACTGCCAGTATATATTAATTATTGTTTGCATAAGATTGGCACTGACATTGCATTGTTTGTATACATGGTATAAATAGGGCACTTGGCTTGTAATCAAGTTCACCATGTCATATGACGATGTCGGTATCTGGAACTGTTATCTTATCGATACCTTATGTAAGGACACTGACCTAAGTGCATGCGAGTGCCCAGTCCACAAAATAGTGATCCTACCTTGTGTATTAATAATAATAATAATAATAATAATAATAATAATAATAATAATAATAATAATAATTTTATTGAGCACAGAAATGTTTTACATTAAAAGGCTCTCTTTAACTACAAGAAAAAATACATGTACGTAATGCTATATAACATACATTATAAAAAGATACAAGTTAATGAAGAAGATTCCTTATATCTGTAAGGACGTTGGTGTACGAGAGTGTTATTTATTTATTTATTTGCTATTTATTTGCTATAAAGCTGTATATTATCATAACATGTCGGTATCTGTGTTCTAAGAAATCGAATTTATAAAAAAAATCTTTCATTTAAATGCGTATCATAAACAAAACTAAACATAATAAAAATGACTCCTGTATATACAGTATATTACTTTTATTAAAAACTTGGGGAAATGGATCAAGAATTCCATCAGCTATGCTGTGCACTAAGAATAAAGCAGTAACGTTTCTTCAAACTACAGTTACTACTGAAATTGTTGTCGTCACCTTCATCGGAGAATTGCGCTACCCAAGTTAATGACCTCAACCCAGGAGATATGCTTGGCCCTCGATCCCCCTCCCCACATCCACCCCTTTGGGGAATGTAAACTTCTTTATACCACCCATTAGTTGTCGGTCATGAATCAGCAAGTCAGAAGCAGTATTTAGGACCATTAACAAAAAGATATGGTAAAGTGACCAACAGCAAGGTAATGCCAACTGCGTTTATATTATATTAATAATCTACAAAAGCAAGTTATTAACCAAGATTGTGATACAATCACTATACCAACTGTGTTTATATTATATTAATAATCTATGAAAGGAAGTTATTAACCAAGATAGAGATATTAGGTCTATTAAAGATAAATGCGCGCCAAAACGTAGTGCATGTTTCCGTGCCTCGATATATCGATTGGAAAATTACCAAGTGGGCAATTTTTCAGGGGTACAATAAAGTAAGCGTCAAAATCATCAAAAATTAGGTTAAACACCTGTTTCATTTTGGGGGAGTTCTCAAGCAGAAATACAGTGAAGACTTGTCAGTATTGCAGGGTTATGAGAATCACTCACGTTTTTTATTTATTGCTATTTTTTATTATTTAATTCTAAGGTCTATTATTAAACTTCTCAAAAATAAGTCCCGTGTTTTGGCAGTTTGTTTACAGTCCCCCCTGGCACATGCTACCCCAGCTAATGATTAACTCGGTCTTGTGATAAAGATTGCGAAACCACTTAACGTGCGCAGACATCCAGGGTAATTTGGCACTTTGCCACCCCCTGTTACACGTGTAAACAGTAACGAAAGTAGTGTTTGTAGACGTAGTCTAGGGGGGGTTAAATTTAAAAAGATTTATAAGTTTAAGTCCTGTCACAAGTCTCGAATTAAAGTGCTTATTATGGCACATGTTTTTCCAGTTCTTTTTTATCTGCGCTCTGTTTTTGCCTCTTTCAGGAAAACCAAATTTCGGGTAGTGCAACCTGATCCAAATATCGGTTAACGACTTTATTTTTAGCACAGAAAAATTTGGAAGTTTTGGAATTGGGGAATTGGAATTTTACTGAAATGGGGTACTCCGAAACACACTCTTCTGCGTGATAGTGTATTGTACTATATAAGTGAATTTTAATTGCAACACAAAACCTTCTGTTATCTGTTCCAGCTAATGCTAATCTAAAATCCGTTGTTGCATCATTGATATGGATGACAAGATCGACATAAATTACTCCGAATTGTATTAAAGGGACAAAGTTTAAAATTTTAAACAAAGATTAATAACATTAACCACATCTTGTTGAACTTATCTAAGGCGAAGTCGCCCTTGTCTTTCATTTTAACAATGATCTAAACTTGACACAGTTTAGGATTGCGTACAACCCGGAAGTCATTATCAAAGGTATGGCGGGAGTTGAAAACCCTACGCTGAAGCGTGGTTTACGGAATTTTAACCCCCCCCCCCCCCCCCCCCAACATTGCTACAGGTCATGGCTAGTACTAGGAAAAATATGGTTTACCCAGAAAAGTATGACATTTTTGCGCGAAATCCTTACACTTCGCATCTTTAATCAAGCGTTGACGGATACAGTAACAACATTACTTTTTGTCTGATTTGATTTCGTGCCATTATTAAACACACAGACAGCAGATCCCATTACAGTATTCACAGTCATTGCAAGAACTACAGCATCCAAGGTCAATGTTTCAAAGCAGTTCTCTCTCTCTATCTCTCTCTCTCTCTTCCCCCCCCCCCTAACCCCCTGGTCTCCGACGTTTGCTGCGAGCGGGAGCGCACTTTCTTGTTTCGATATCAGATGGCGTCAGAGAAAATGAGGAATGAACAATCCTGATTGACTCAACCATAGCATTACTACTGATTTTTGTCTGTCTTCCATCAGTTTCCTTCATACTTCTCCTTTAAATTTCAGATGGCCTGCAAAAGAAAACTAAAATGCCGAATATTTTTGCACTTTAACTGATAACTGTTTTTTATGTCTGACACAGAATTTTATTACTTTTTTCAGTATGTGGAACGAAAGCTCCGACTCATCCGATCCGAGGGTATGTTTTCCATGTTTTTTATTCGTGTTTTCAAGCAACAGTTTTTGTTTTAATACTTACACTTACCGATTAAAAAGGCTACTCATACCCGTCCATGTTGAAGAGCTTGATTAACAAAGATAGGCTATAAAACAATCAGCCATTGTACTTGCCTGAAACAATATATTGGTACAAATAGAATCTCATTTCGTTCTCGTTTTAGAAAGATATCTCGATAAATCATCAATCGAACATATCAAACCATTGTACACGATTGATAATTATCTTCTTTGTCGTTGTTAGGCACATTGCACACTCACCCAAATGGCACCGCACCAATGACGTCAGATAAGCCGTCTGCCCATCTGCTTTATCGCGGGGGTAATAGTACACCGCGCGGTTTTCGAGGTAAGCACGTGGTAACGGCGTGAAAATAGACGTGCGGTCCTAATCTGTATTGACTTCATTGTATCGGATCCCTAAATGTCTGTCATCTGACTGGCACATTGGTAATATCTATTAAGGCCCAAAGTATGAATGTTTAAAAGCCTTGTGTCACGATTTAAATCTTGGAACCGCTGATACACACGTGCCATAAGTCCCTATCTATCATCTATCAGATATTTTGCTAAAATAATTCACACCCAAAGTATGTATGCATATTCAAAGGGCGTGTCTGTGTTCATGATTTAGAAATTATCAGTTTCAGTAGGCCCCCCTATCGATGGGCGTGCCATCTATGTTCAATACAATTTTGATCATCATGATGATGATCATCATCATCATCATTATTATTATTATTATTATTATTATTATTATTATTATTCCATTCACAGGGCAGGACGGAATGTATACCATCACTAACTGGGCCAAAGGCAGCCTTGGCTACATCAGCGGCGTCGACTTCCATTCACATTCCGGCAGTTTCGTCATCAAAGAAGAAGGAAGATACTTCATCTACAGCCAGGCTTTGTTCTTATTCACCTACCAGCCCAGTGACGTCACTTCCGCCCAAAAACCACGCGGGGAAACGGTGGTCCACTCCATTTACCGAAATAACATCCGCCGCGCTGCAGAGGAAGAGATGATGACGGGACGGAAGTCGAACTGTTGGTCCACGGAGAAAACGTTCGAGGTCAAGTCGAATTATCTAGGAGGGGTGATTTACCTGAGGGCGGGAGATGAGGTGTACGTCAAAGTTTCTGACCTCACTAAGGTGAAAATAAACGACTTTAAGTCCACGTATTTTGGTTTGTACATGTTGTAAATTTCAAGTTGTTTCAGAAATAGTTTGCAAAAAAAGAGGTATGACTACGTCATATTCTTAATAACGAATCTATTTCTTTTTATCATTATAGGTTTTCTCCCTAATTTTTAAAGGTCTTTTTATTTGTGAGGGTCGCTTCTTTGCTTAAGGATGGGCCTCTGTATTAATGGGCGCCCTTCCGAATGTTAACCAATAGCTAGAAAAGAAAGAAAATTGGCACTTCTTTATTTCTTTTTCTTGTGGATATTGTGTGGATCTGTTATAGATTTTCATTGTACAATAATTTGCTCATTAGAATGCCCTCTGTACCCTGAAGCATTAGAAGTGAGGTTCAAAGATTAATTGAAATTGAGATGAAAGCCAATCAAAATGAACTACACTGCCAATCTGAATGCGTAAGGATCAAGAGTGTATTTAAGTACTTAGTGAATATGAATGCAACCACGAATACCTTGTGTAGAGAGAGAGAGAAAGAGAGAGAGAGAGAGAGAGAGAGAATCCAAGGCCATCTGTGATATATGCTCAATGCAAAATAGCAGCAATCGCAACAAGAGTTTTGTAAGTTCTTGATTTTATAAGCGCACTTGTCTTTCACACTGTAAAATTTAGCTTAATGACGTAATAATGTTGTTATTATTTTAACTATGCATCAGGTATTATTCGAAATTTATTTTTCGAAAATTAATAACAAATTTTGGCACGGAAGGGTTATTTGGATATTAAAGAAAACAATACCCCAATCAGTGCAGTTTCCTTCTACTGACTTTGTTATTTCGAATTTAGTCATTCATCAGTATCATGACTCATATTTCCTGTATATATTCTCCATCTATTACCAATACAATTTACAGCAAAGTGCGACGACATTACGTCACATACCACGTGACAATAAATGTAAGTAAACTTCATCTCCAAAATGTACAGTCGTAAGTATAAATATAAGTATAAAGTCTGCTGTGCAGGTTACATATATTTCCTTTTTGTAATTAATGAAAACAGTAGATAATTAATGTGCTTATCATATATGTTTTTTATACTTAATGAAATAAATTTATTATACAAGAAAAAGTTCAAGTTTTATTGTTTTTATTCACCAGGCGTGGAATCGGGTTTTTTTTGTTTTTTTTTTTTACGTGTAAATAGAATTTACCTTTTAATGATTTTTAATTGTTGTTTTGACAATCAATAACCTTTATACAATATGGTCAATGTTTAAACTTCCGTTTGCGACATTGTGAATACCAGAATGCCTTATCTTCTTTCAAACGCAGTGCGGCTTTGTTTTTGTATATACAAAGATAGGTATATGCACACAAAACACGTTTGAAAGCTCCAAAAGGGACAGCAATATATCATCTTATTCGGTCATTCGTGCAAAACCAGAAATAAACAACTTATTTATAAACATAGGACTTGCTGTATTTCATCTTCGTGTGTACGTAAGAAATTCATCATTACCATAATATTCTTATGACTACTTTTTTGCGCCACAAGGATGTGAAAATTCATTTAGAATGGGTAAGTGAAAGAAATCGCTCTCGTGTCACTGAGCAGCACCAATTAAAATTCAGTCTATTGATTAAACCACAGTGCATGTGATCGATTTTACGTGTTAATAGAAGTCACCTTTTAATGACTTCTTAAATGTTGGTTTGATGATCAGTAATCTTTATGCAATATAGTCAATTTTCAAACTTTTGTGTACGACACATTGAATACTAGAATACATTATTTTCTTTTACATGCAAAGTATAACTTTGTTCTTGAGCATACACATCTACCAATTTTTATCCACTAGCTATGCAAAAAATAGGTTAATGCACACAAAATACGATTTTTGGTTTAAAACTCCAAAAGAAACGTTAACAATAGCATTTTATCCGGTCATTCGTGCGAAAACCAGAAATGTATGACTCATTTACTAATAAAGTACTTGTTGCCGTAATGTTTTTCATGTTGTATACTTCAGAAATTCACCATTACCATAATATTCTTATAGCTACTTTTTTTGCGCCACAAGGAAGTAAAATTTCATTTAGAATGGGTAAGCGAAAGAGGACATGGATCGGTATTTAAATCGCTCTCGTGTCACTGTCAAAACCTCCGCTGAGCAGCACCCATAAAAATATAATCTATTGATAGAACCAACGTACATGTGATCGATTATCCCATTCTTCCAGGAAGAAGTTACATATTTAACCGTTCCAAGAAAGGTTTAAAGTTTAGCTCACAATATATGGCGAAACCATGCTTTTTTATTTATTTTTTATTTTTATTTTATTTTATATACAGTATATACATAGATTGACTGGAAAAGCGAAGTTAATTTAATTAAAAGGTACGGGGAAACTTTATATCAGAAATCTATTCTGTAGCTTAAGCCTATACTTTTTTTTGCGGACGCGACGTCTGCAAAGAAAAACTTTATTATTAATGTTATATTACTTTTCTTTCTTTATTTATCTGTTTGTATTTGGATAATTTATGTTAGCTTTCAGATATCGTAAAGAAACGACAAACACTTTGTGTCTCTCAACGAAAAGCATATTTACTTCAACGTAGCTACTCTTTTGGGTTTAAAAAAGAAACCAAAGCTCCCGCTGGACATGCGCACAAGTTGCTTTTCTTGGATATCTTGGGGAACCACACGGCAAAGTTCCAGGTACGGGGTTATTTATATAGTGACATCGAGCACACGCTTTGTGGCGTGTCATAATAATAACAACCGTCGCGAGCCAGGGCAGTTAAACCTGTGGCCTAGAGCGAGCTACAGTTCAGGCGTGCAGTAAAAACCCCGGGGTGGACGTATTTCTACTGTAGCGCCCCAGGGTCCGATGCGCTGCGCATCTGGCGGTGGTGAAAGGAGCGGGAAAACGGCTCACTTGGTCGACTCTTTATTTTTTCTTAAACGGATCTGTCGGTAAGTGCACTTGGCGCGTGTTATGGTTGGTGTTTTATGCTACCAGGTTTTCATTTGAAAGAGAAACATTTGATTTCATCAGTGCAGAGAGCGAAAAAATTGTAATTAACTGACCACGGGTCAGACCTGTTCATTTATAGAAGATCCATTCAGTATCGATTTTGTTTGCTCTCATTTTTCTCCGTCGAAGGAGGCAAAAAACTTAAAATAACACTGGAAGAAAATGTGCAATGGTTTTATGACCGCTGTTAAATAAAAGCAAAAGCGTTAGCGCTAAAACTCATATCAGTCATTTCTCACTCTTATTCCAAGTAGGAAAGGCAGTTTTATGTTATTTCTACATTGTTATAGAGGGGAAAATCGTCACCTCGGCCTGAAAAATGCCTCCCTGATATACTTCGAGACGCACTTCTAAGATGTCTCATCCTGCGAGCGACAACCATGGCAACGGTTTCTTCATCTATCTGACCACTGAAAGCGGTCAAGTGCCCGGGGTCAACACGAGAATCCCTCTCAGAGAAAACGAAAGTGACCAAGCGTCATATTCCCGACAACGTAGCAGTGACAGCGGCGTTAGTCAACTGAGCACTGGCGGTGAATCCGTCCGCTCCGTGACCCTGATCGCTGCATCAGGACGAGAAAAAAAGAACCCCGATAAAAAGAACCCCGATGAAGACTTAGAAAAATTGCAAGGAGACGTGAAAAAACTGAGACTGTGCATCAGGAAATTGGTCCTAGTGTTTGTGGTTATTACCTGCATACTTATAAGCGCGGTGGTAGCTGTAGGGGTACATTCCTTTCATCCTTACGTCAACCCGGCGGAGCACAGCGTCAACGCCGAGCAAGCTGGCGTAGCAGACGACACCCTTTCCTCGCTCTGCATACCATGCGCTGACCTCTCTCAAGACGTGTCGGTCGAAGAACTACGAATGGAAAACAACCCCGACCTCTGCTGCGCCCGAAACCAGACGCAGTTTCATAAACTCCTGCAATGGGTGAGCTTCCAAATTCCGAAAGATAAATCAGATAAACGCCAAACAGATTGCATTTTAATGAAATTGAAATGAAGTTTGTTAAAGGGCATAGGGGATATATCTTGTGAACAATCAGCAAAATATGATTTACATATGAAAAAATGTTTAACATATTCAAACCCCTGTAAGCTGAAGGAAAAAACACTAAAATCCATACCCCTGCAATGGAGGGGGGGGGGGGGCTCATAATGACAAAATATGGCAACAACCAATAGAGTTTCTTTTGTCAATAGCTATAGGACATTCACTGATATTTATCAGCCAATATTATGTCCGCTAACAGTCAGACTTCATCAGGGAAATGAGGGCTGTGTTAGGATTATAACCTGTCACCCAAACGGTGCTGTCTAGGAAGGTGCTCCCCCTCCTCTATTACCCCCCCCCCCCCCCCCTGATTTGTGATTGGTTGATTTTTGGGCATGAGATCGTCAGAACATGAAAAATCGATCCGAAAACATGACCAAAAATCAGCCCTCAGCCAAAATCAAAATTAATTTTCCTGAAAAAAAGGGCGTTTAAAGACAGCATTTTGAATCAGGGCAAAGTTGAAAATTTATTGCAAACGGGACTGAATTTTGCGCCAGAAAATATGTATCTAATTCACTTTGAAGCAGTTACAGTTTTATTTCAGAAACAAGTCTGGTTTAAATAGTTACGACAGTTTTTATATTATACAAGGAACAGAATAACAATTCGTACATTCAGAGTTTTGTCATTAAAATATACAATTCAGACGCCACTAACAGTTTTATTGGCGAAAGCAAAACGAATACCTGGTGCGAATTAAACCACCCTTATTGCCCAGAAAACAGCCGAAAATATATATAGCTGCATAGGTTACAGTTTTTTCTATTTTGGCACTTGGATTAAGACACGCATACGGGGGTTAAAAAGCCATCTTCTGTTAAAACAGATAATTGCTTATCATGTATTTGAACATGATACCACGGGAGGAGTTAACTTAATAAAAGCAACTGATCAACTTAAGGTAAACAGAGCCCCCGTTCAGGAAGTTTTTGAAGAAGCACACTAACTAAAACTTATCAAGTATTTGAACATGATACCACGGGAGGAGTTAACTTAATAAAAGCAACTGATCAACCCAAAGTAAACAGAGCCCCCGTCAGGACGTTTTTAAAGAAGCACACTGACTGCAACTTCTGCTTATTCAAACTACCGTCCTCCTGATTTTGTGATATCTGTGAAAGTCTAGGGGTGTATAATTTGCAGAGACACCAAAAAGGGACTACCTTTGTGTGAGTGCATCGTATGATGTTTTTCTTAGCATCAAATGTGTTTTCTTTTGCAACCACAAACAAAAAAACTAACCTTCGGGTATCTTTCTACCTTTCAAAGAATTAGGATTACTTGAGGCATTTGACAACGTATTATTTATCAACCCCTGGTCATGTATGGTATATTTTCATGCACCCGTTCCCATGAATAACACAATTTTCTTTTTTCCTTTTCAGTATGTGGATGTGAAAATACAACAAGCTGAAGAAGGTGAGGGGACCACTAGTGCGTTAAAAACCAACTTTGGAGCTGGTTTTAACGCAAAATGTTTGAGTTAAATCGTGTTTTCCACCCATGAAAGTCATTTCCACCTTTTATAAAAGGGCCTTGACCAAGTGACTGACTCGTTGATGTGAGCGCCAAGAGATTAAGGTCATTGCACGAGAGGCAAAAAAAAAACTATTTAATTATAAGTAACTTTGGCAAACGAGACATGTTTAAAACAAAAACATTTCGTTTTTCTCTCTCTCTATCTTTAAGACAAGGGAGTGCTAATAATTATTTAATGTATTTGTTACATTTTAGGCACAATTCATATTTAGCACCCGCTCCCTCAACTCTAACGGTACCCCTTATAGTGTTTACGTAATGTTACGCGAAAAAACATTCAAAGTCCTTTTGTTATACGCTTTAAATATTGCTCCAAGAAATTTTTCTCCACGTCAAGAAAGTGTCATACCAATTCTCTTGTTCATATCGTGCATAAATTCCATTTCAGACCGTTCTTTTCGTCAGCCACCATCGTCCAATACTTTAAAATCGTCAGCTCATTTAATCCTTAACCCGACGGTGGATCTTGCCGCGGAAGGTAGGCCTACTGTAAAGACTAGA